TTACGCACAAGCAGCTCATCTTCCCATCACAGCAGCATTAAGATAAATTCAACAGTGTAAATAAGTTTTGATGGCTGCAATAATCATGGAATACTGAATGATTTAGTCTTTGTAAAATATGCAGGGATTTATGATATGGAAAATGAACCATGGAAAGAGAAGAAGGAAAGTCAATGATATTTTAAGGATGTTAAAAATGAGTATTTTAAATTGTAAAACAGAAAATTTAATAAAAATTATGTAGAAAGTTTCAATGGAGGAATGATGGGATGTAGAGCTACTTAACTTTTTAGCTTCAGAACATATATTTTTTCTGCTCAAAATTCCCACTACTCTTTTTCAATTCCCATGGGGAAATAAGATACATGTAACTATATTTTTTCTCTTGTAGGCTGAATAAATAATTGCAGCTCTGCGAGGGGAATAGGGGTCTCCGAACAACTCTCAGCACCTTTAACAAACAACAGTTCCCACAATCCTTTAGAGGAAGTCGTGTTGTGATACTACAGACAAGGTCTGCAGATGTCTCAATGAAAAGGCTGGACCTCCACACACCTTTTAAGAGAAGATAACAAAAATTAAGCCCCTTGCTGGATTTGAGAAGATATTGTGGTCTCTTCGGGTTCTTGTGAGTCTTCCAAGGCTCTCTTAAGTCAGGCGCTTGATGAAGGAGTTAGCCCAAGACCCGCAAAGACATTTGTAGCTATATCATGCATCAGTAAAACTGTCTCTGCCAAGGTCTATCTGAAGAGCTCATCTGTGGCCAAGCATAACAGGGAATGAAATGTGTATCGATTAATAATGCACCGTCTCTTTAAGCCTGTTCAAGGGAGGTGAGGGTGAGGGCATTTGGAGGCGGTTGGGGTGGGGATATGAGAGAGGTTTTCATCATCGACTTTATAAAACAGTGTTGGCAAGCAGATTAAAGCAGTCTTGTAAACAAAGAGTAACATGCGCGCCATATGGAATTTAAGGGACTCTCTACATGCAGCCCAGTGGGCTCCCTCCAGGACCCTCTTAGTGGAATTAATCAAAGCTGCTTTCAAAGTTTAACTCTGAACGTGCTTCTGAATATATTTGGGCATCTCTGTTCTATGCGCCTCTCTTGTCCTAATTGTTCAGTGACTCAGTAAGGGTTCCTTTGAAACATTGGCTTATAGAGAATGTGTATATACATTTTCATTGGCACCTGATATATTACTAACAGAGGAACTACTCTATTCCGAACTTAAAAATGGAAAGCGTAATGCTGGTGGTCAACAAAAGAGGTTTAAAGACTCTCTCTCAAAGCAAATCTTTTCTTTTCTTTTTAAGTATAAACACCAACAACTGGGAAACACTGGCCTGCGAGTGCTCCAATTGGAGAACAGCCTTGACCAAAGGTGTCATGGGCTTTGAATATGCTCAAACTCAGGATGAAAGGGAGAAACGTGCTAAGAGGAGGACACACTTGGTAAACCCTCACTGTGATCAACTCCCACCCAGAAACCTATGAATTGGTCACCTGCTTTGACTCTGAGGGAAAGTGTAGAATGTGGTACTCAGTACAGAATTCCGTTTGCACTTATTTTGTAAAAGCTAAGTATCTAGTCCTTATGATTATGAAGACAGATATATAAATATATATACTACTGAGTTGAATAGGATCCAAAATGCAGCAGTCTGATTGGATCCTAGAACAATGCAGCAGTATGATTGCTCCGCAGGAGCCACTCAATCCAGCTGCAGGTGGAAGTGAATCCACAACCTGATTGGCCTACAGGAGAATCCCGCAATTAGCCAATCATGTGCAGCCCAATGTGTAAATAACGTATATAAAGCAAATATTGTGGGGGAACTTCCATTCCTCCTCACCACTATGTGCTGAATAAAGAGCATGAAATCCACTCTCGACTCCGAGTATATTTCAATACACACACACACACACACACACACACACACACACACAGTGGTACCTTGGGTTAAGAACTTAATTCGTTCTGGAGGTCTGTTCTTAACCTGAAACTGTTCTTAACCTGAAGCACCACTTTAGCTAATGGGGCCTCCCACTGCCGCCACGCTGCCAAAGCACGATTTCTGTTCTCATCCTGAAGCAAAGTTCTTAACCTGAGGTACTATTTCTAGGTTAGCGGAGTCTGTAACCTGAAGCGTCTGTAACCTGAAGCATCTTCAACCCTAGGTACCACTGTATTATCCTATCACTTCTCCAGCCAGGTTGTGGCATACATGATAGCTCAGTCGGTAGAGGATGAGACTCATGATTCCAGGGTTGTGGGTTCTAGCCCCATGTTGGGCAAAAGATTCCTGCATTGCAGGGGGTTGGACTAGATGACCCTTGGGGTCCCTCCCAACTCTACAGTTCTGTGAGTCTATGATTCTCCCCTTGCCTCTATTCTGTCCTCAGAGCAACCCTATGAGATAAGTTAGGCTGAGGGAGAGTTGGTGGGCTCTTTAGCGCTGCTGGATTTATTTTGTTTCTGAGTTGCTTGTGGCAGTATGTGATTTTTACATCTGCTTTCCACCACATTGACCTAATGCTAGCTAATTTAGTGGAATGAAGTGCTAAAATAATCACAAGCTCCTGTTGGATGCATGGAAGAGCCTTTGGTTGTGAGGCTCTCCACCCCTGCAGTTTGAAGTGACACGGTACAAACTCGGGGTTTCCAACCTCATGGTCTAATGACGTGTGACATGACATGCATTGCTGATGATCAGGTCATGGCAAAGGCACCGGAACGTGATTTTCACTTGGAGCCACACAGTATGCTAGGAGGGAAGGTTTCATCCTTCCCTCTCCTGCTGCTATCTCAATAAAATAAATCACTTGATGCTTTTTCAGGATGCAATAAGGAAATGGCTCCTGCAGGTTCGATGGGGAAAGGGAATTCACAGGTCCCTCACCCCTGCACTAGAAAAAGATGGGAGAGAGAGATGGAAAGAAGATAAAGTCTCTACCAGAGAAGAATGGCAAATTAATCTGTTGGACTATGTCGAAATGGCAAAATTGACCGGAAAGCTCAGGAACCAAGAAGACCAAAACTTGAACAAAGAATGGGGAAAATTTATAATTTATCTTGGAGACCATTGTAATCAGATGAAAACACTAGCAGGATTGCAATAACACCTATAACGTAGCAACAACAATGGAGATAACGGAGTTATATAAAACAGACTATTGAAAAAGAGGCAGCAGAAAATGTTTAACAATAGGACCCATGGAGAGGAAGGTGGGAAGTCCAGAGATTCGGAGGAATCTTTTAACTGTTGATGTGCATGGTTGTATTGTTATAATTTTATATATGTAAAATCAAATAAAAATTTTTTCCAAAAAACAAAAAGGAGAAAGAGCACCGCTTGATCACCCTGAAAAGGACATATTTTTCCTGCTCAAAATTCCCACTACTCTTTTTTAATTCCCACAGGGAAACAACATACGTGTACCTAGAGACAGTCCTCTCCTCTCATCTGAGCTTTAAGTATGAGAGGAGATACAAACGCAGACCGGGGAGACAAGGGGGAAGGTAATATCTTTTTTCTTTTTTTTTCAATCTGTCTAAAACCACTTTGAAAGGCTACTCACTCAAAATGGCCAGAGTACCAGTTCCACCTGAAACTACCATTGAAATAAATGTGTTGTTTGCTTAGACGGAAGGTAAATATCTGGTGAAGATCTTTGCTTTTTCCAGTGTTAAGGCAATGATTCTTCAACATCAGCTTCGTTGGACTGGTCATGTTGCTCGGATTCCTGATTGTTGTCTCCTAAAGCAACTACTGCATTCCCAACTTAAGAATGGAAAGCAAAATACCGGTGGACAACAAAAGAGGTTATAGACACTATCAAGGAAAATCTTTAAAAATGTAGTATAAAAACCGACAACTGGAAAACACTGGCCTGCGAGCGCTCCAGTTGAAGAACAGCCTTTGCCAAAGGTGTCATGGGCTTTGAAGGCACTTGAACTCAGGACAAAAGGGAGAAATGTGCCAAGAGGAAGGCACACTTGGCAAACCCTCACCGTGATCAACCCCTGCCCAGAAACCTATGTTTCCACTGTGGAAGGACTTGTGGATCCAGAATTGGCCTCCACAGTCACTTATGGACTGACTGTTAAAACCGTGTTTATGGAAGACAATCTTACTCAGCTATGAATCATCATCAAAGAGACCCAGGTGGATCTGGTGAAGATACAGGAGTTATGCAGCCAACACTCTGCACGCTTGCTTAAATATACCGCTAATGTTTCCTTGGTGACAGAATCCCCTTTTCCAGGGTCACCAAATGAACCAACCCTGCCTTTTGGTCTGGTGCCGAGATGCTGTTGCTGTATCCTCACACCTGTAGACCCAGCTTCCATGTTCCATCAGCCGTGTGTGTTCACAATATTGAACAGTTCACACTAGGGCTGCATGTGCATCATCCATTTCAAGCACAGGCAAGAATTCTGGGAACTGGGGAGCAAATATCACCACCGGTAGACATAGGCTACCAGCAGGAATGGTTGAGTTGCAGAGTGGCATACTGTTTGTAGAATCATGGAACTGTAGAGCTGCAATGGACCTCCAAACATCATCTAGTCCAACCCCCTTGCAATGGCAGAACCTCAACAAAAAAATCAGGGGCAGATGACCAGGGGAAGACCTTGGGACTCTTGCAAAATGAGCATGTGAGACATGGCCTTTAGATTATTGTATAATGATGAATGTTTAGGTCAAATTCCTTGCTACAAAAACGACTGAGGGAATTCATGTCAGCTGCCAAGAAATCCTAGGAATATAGAATCGAAGAGTTGGAAGGGACCCTGAGGAGCATCTAGTCCAACCCCCTGCAATGCAGGAATATGCAGCTGCCCCATATAGGGATCAAACATGCGATATTAGCATCATCAGCACCACACTCTAACCAACTGAGCTATGCCCCCTGCCCCCTTATAAAAAGACTTCTTTCATAAACCTCTAGTAAAGGTAAAGGTACCCCTGCCCGTACGGGCCAGTCGTGTCCGACTCTAGGGTTGTGCGCTCATCTCACTCTATAGGCCGGGAGCCAGCGCTGTCTGCAGACACTTCTGGGTCACGTGGCCAGCGTGACAAAGCTGCAGCTGACGAGCCAGCACCAGCGCAGCACACAGAAACGCTGTTTACCTTCCCGCTATAAAGTGGTACCTATTTATCTACTTGCACCCGGGGGTGCTTTCGAACTGCTAGGTGGGCAGGAGCTGGGACCGAAAGACGGGAGCTCACCCCGCCGCGGGGATTCGAACTGCTGACCATGCGATCGGCAAGTCCTAGGCACTGAGGTTTTACCCACAGCGCCACCCGCGTCCATATATATATATATGTTAGCAATTTCAATACAACAACTTATCAAAACATATCATATTCATTATTTTTCCCCTTTCCCCCCCACCCCCAAAGCCTCCCTCCCTTCCCCTCCCCCAGAGACTTCCCTCAGCTCCTCTCTCTGATTTCTCAACATGTATTATTCTCTGCATACTGTAACATTGTCTAAATCCTTATGTTATCTTTCTACTATGTTAACAATCAATAAATTTGTGTATGTTTATTCAAAACCTGCCAAGGAGTCCAATTCATTTTGGAGGCTTTTTAAGTACTTTGTAAAAAGTTCCCATTCTTCTTTGAAGTCACAGTTGTCCTTATCTCGCAGTTTGTATGTCAATTAAGCCAGTTCTGCATAGTTCTTTTGTCGGGGTTTCCTCATTCTTCCATCCTTGTGCAATCAAGACTCTTGCCGATGTTGTTGCATACATAAATAAGTTCTTTGTTTTCCTTGGCAGGTCTTGTCCTACGATCCCTAACAAAAATGCTTCTGGTTTTTTCCCCAAATGTCATTTTGAACCTTTTCTTTAATTCATTATATATCATGGATCATGTATATTCTAACTGGCGAATCCATAACCATCTGTTACCCAGCTGGAACTATCCTGGACCAGTTCCCCATCTCTTGCCACAATTATCCTTTGCTACATCAGCCCCTTCTCTTGCTGTCCTTTGCACCAAACCCAATGAAGTTTGATCTTCCTAGGAAGACCTGTTTGGGATTTTAAGGCTTGTTCAACTGGGGTTGTTCTGTGGTGTTTAAGGATACATTCTACCAACACAGACTAAGTTCCTTTAATACTAGCAGCTCTTTTTTCAATGAGCCCCACCAGTCAAAATACATGACGCAGGTGGGTTTCTGGATTGTTTAAACAACACTGCACTCTGCTGGCCAAATAAGCAGAAATATTTTTCTCACTTTGCAGGGAAGGAGGGATGCTCTGGCTTTTTGCAAATTAATTAGTGCATGTGTTGCTTTTAATAGGGGGTGTTTGTGTGTGTGTGTGTGTGTGTGTGTGTGTGTACATATATAATCATCCTAGGAGCATGCACATTCCAGGAACATCGCACAGAAGACACTCGCCGGGGTTGTCTTTGTGGCCGCTGAGGCCGAGTCCCCCAAAGCAGCCAAAAGAAATCTACATCGCTGTCCTGGAAGCATAACGAGCTAATGGAGATTATGCAGAAGGGATTTGATCCAGGCCTCTTTAGCTGTTTGTCAGAGTTCAGCTGCCAGTATAGACCTGAACCAGCATCTGTCTAATGACCTGCTGAGAGATTCTGCTGATCTTGTCTTTGCAGCGCAGGGATAATGAGAAAGAAAGAGGACTGAAACAGACTTTCAATGAAGGCAGGAGGCTGTAAATGCAGCCCCCTTGGGGCAGAAGGGGGGAGAGAATATATTTATACACCCCCAAATTCTATTTTCAAAAGCCATTCCCCCTTGGAAAAAGGAGATTATTTCCATGCAACTGTCTGTCCTTTGTCATCAGCACTGGCACCGGCTGTTCCAGTTTCATTTTGAGGTGATTTTTTTTGGGGGGGGGGTGTTCATTGCTTTCCGTGGGCAGATGGATATGGACTGGAGGATTAAGCACGATGAAGGCTCTTCTTGCTAATTTATTTGAAAATGAGGGCTATAATACTTTGAACTCCGGTGTCAGCTCCTTTCACTCAGGAATATCAAAGCGGCTTGCGAGGCAATTAGTTAATGAGTTGGCCAATCTCGTCGCACCTCTGGGGTATTAGAGAAGCCAGGTTTGCTTCTCAGATGGGGGTGGGGGGGAGAACAAAATCACTGGAGAAAAGCAGATAGACAGGCAGTTTCATCCATTTCAAGGTAGCCCGATTGCTTTTAAAGAGGCTAGCAGTGCAGTTCTACTTGGAAGTAAGCCTCATTTGATTCAGTGGGGCTTACTCCCATGTCAGTTAATATAGGATCACAATCGCCAAATAATATCACTA